GAGGAGTTGGTCGACGACACGATTGGCGAGGAGTCGGCGAATTTCGGCATCATAGAGGAAGCGCGTTGGGCAAGGCGTCCTCACCAGGCGATAGTTTGCTGGAACTGCAGACAAGCTGGCCACAGTTTCCGCGACTGCATGTCATCGGAAAGGCGCGTCTTCTGTTATGGATGTGGCAGATCAGACACCTATAGTCCAACATGCCCCGATTGTGCGAGAAACGGCCGTCGGAATGCGGAGCAAGTGGGCGAATCGGGTTCGACACAGATGCCCACCAGGATTGCAGCGGAGCGGTCCTAGAAAGAAATATTGTTAATTATAATACCCCAATTAGAAGAAGATGCGGGCATATCTGGGGGTGCGCAATAGAATATTCGCTCAACATCAGTTAGACGGCATGAGGATGGTGACAGCCAAAGTTAAAAAGGCCCGAACATGATTCCAAGTAAGAAGGCAGACGAAGAAGTTCATGGCCGAAGCAGTGCGGCGCGAAGGGGCAACAACCCTACGCGGTGTACTGGATATCGGGGCCTCGGTTAGGCAAGGGCAGTCTTCAATTGCTGAAAAGGATTGGCGCGTAGCCCAGAAAGTATATTTCGATAATTAAAACAGCAGGCGGTGATGACAGAGCCGTAATTGAGTGAGTGCGTTTACCAGTGGAATTTTGAGAGGATACTAAAGATGTTGAGTTTTACGTAAGCCCATCGCTGGAGCAGAACGCGTATTTTTGCATCGATTTTTGGCGGATGTTCAATTTGGCTCCACTATTAATTCCTCTAGGAAAGCCTGCCGTGGAAAGACTTGTCCTCGAAGAATTGCTAGCTGATAGAGTGGCGCATTATATGGACCATGATGAAGTGAATCCGGAACCAGATATGTGGTAATTGGATGAACACCACAAGCTGAAATTGGAGCAACTAAAAAATGCATTTTTAACTTTCGAAGAAGTGGGGCTAGGAAAAACAATTTTGGAGACTCACCCGAGGTGGACAGCATGCTTGCGCTTGGCGTCATCGAGGTAAGCGATAGTCCATGGAGTAGCCGCACCATCAGAGTGCGACGGCCGGGCAAGAACCGCTTTTGCCTCGATGCCCGCAAGTTAAACAAGGGGGCAGTAAAAGATGCCTATCCACTACCATGCCTGGAGGGAATCCTATCTGAAATCGACCAGACATATTATATTTCCAGCGTAGATTTGAAGTTTGCATTCTGGCAATTGGAATCGGCGTTCACCGTACCAGGGTGGCCTTTATACCAGTTCCGCATGATGCCATTCGGACTGTTTAACGCTGTTCAAAGTTTATGCCGACTGATAGATAAGGTTATACCCAACTAGCTGAAGTCCAATGTAAAGGTGCACTTGGACGACTTGGTTGTCTTCTCTGCAGATTTTGATACCCACGTAGAGTACTTGCGTAAAGCCGCCGAATGCCTGAGAAATGCGAATCCCACAATGGGATGACAGAAATTGAAATTTTGTTTCAAAACGTTGAAATACCTTGTTTTTGTTGTATCTCTTGCGTCAATTCGCTTGTGCACTGTCGCTGTAGTGTCATCGTGTTTGCCTGGTGGACGAACCGATGGCCTGGAATGACGAATGAAGTCCCCTGCCATGCACCGCAACGCACGATGAGCTAGAGCAGATGGTGGACATAGCAGAATTGAGAGCGAAGAAGCAATTAATTTTAATTTGGTTGCTGCCTTTCATCGCCGTCATGGCGATAAAATTATTTAATTTAAATTTAATTAATTAATTAAATTCAATACAATTTATTTGTAATTAAATACAATTAATAGTAATGTATTAATAATTCACACGAGGTCTTTTACATTATGTTAGGTCTTTATTCATTGGCACTTCGTTGCCTTCTGCCCGTCTTCTTACATATTTTCTTACTTCTTAACTTTTCTTAGTGTGGCTGTGTTGGTTTTATTTAAACACGGCAAGCAAATCTTAATATCCAACAGCATACATAGAAGACATGTTTATGTACACTTTCAAGAGCATATAAGGGTGAAAGGCTATACTAGTTTTGTCCGAATGTATGTAACATACAGAAAGTGGCGTGGCAGACCCCACAAAGTATATATATATTCCTGATCAGGATGACAAGCCGAGTCGATATAGCCATGTCCGCCTGTCTGTCTGTATGAACGCAAGGGTCAGCGCTCAGTTTCCGACGCGTATCCTTTGCCGCGCATAAACCACATACTAGAGCGACTACGCAAGATTTTAACGATCACAAATTTGCGTGCAGTCTTCAGACGACTACGAGAAGCAAATCTAAGAATAAATCCAGAGCAATGCAGTTTCTTTCAACAGAGGCTCAAATTTACACTAGAGCAACCAAGAAACCTAAAGGAACTTCGCCACATTTTTACTTATTTATTGTTAACTAGCAGGTCTTGCCCGTCTTTGCTGGGCTAAGTAAAATGTGCTTAAAATTATAAGTTTAATTACTATATGATATTCTTCATTCGACGCTCTCTAAAGTTATTTAAAGAGTTCATTTTCCAAATAGCAAATATAGTACAATAAGTACTATGTATGGTTATACGTACATACATACATATGTAAGTACATATCTTCGTTACGCGGACTGCCAGTCCTGACTTAACTGTGTGCTTCCTCAGCACGTTGTACGCACGGTCGAGATAACCCCGAAAAGTCCGACTCGGGACATTTAATTTTGATTTATAAATCGGGACGTCCCGCCAAAATTGGAGCGTCCGGCAACGCTGATATGTACATACATGCATGCGTTATCCGCCTATATACATATATACATACATATATAAGTATGTATTAAATTTTTTAATTCAACACTAATTTGTGTCTTCAATTCCAAATATGATTGTTGTGAATTAGATTGGTTCAGAGTATATTTGTAGCGTTGTTAGCTAACCCTAAAACGGTAAGTCGCTGTAAATATGCGATCAGCTGAGATGCTAGAGATGGGCATGTGTCGGATGATCTATGTGTTAGAGCATCAAAACTATCGATAGTTGAATCCGTCGATACCATGAATAATTCCAACGAAGTTTGAATGCATTTAACAGAAAATTTAAATAATAACATCTTATAATTTATTGAGATCAATTAGAACAAATCATATACAAACATACATATGTACATCTGCCCGCAACGGATTCAACTATCGATAGTTTTGATGGTCTAACACATAGATCATCCGACACATGCCCATCTCTAGCATCTCAGCTGATCGCATATTTACAGCGACTTACCGTTTTAGTGTTAGCTAACAACGCTACAAATATACTCTGAACCAATCTAATTCACAACAATCATATTTGGAATTGAAGACACAAATTAGTGTTGAATTAAAAAATTTAATACATACTTATATATGTATGTATATATGTATATAGGCGGATAACGCATGCATGTATGTACATATCAGCGTTGCCGGACGCTCCAATTTTGGCGGGACGTCCCGATTTATAAATCAAAATTAAATGTCCCGAGTCGGACTTTTCGGGGTTATCTCGACCGTGCGTACAACGTGCTGAGGAAGCACACAGTTAAGTCAGGACTGGCAGTCCGCGTAACGAAGATATGTACTTACATATGTATGTATTAGACAGCTGCATGAATGGCAAAAAAAAAAAAACACATTCGAATGTACAGTGCTCAAAATGAGTTGAGTGAATTAGAATGCAAAGGCAAACTGATATGAATGAATGAGTATACACACGTTCAACTCAGTCGCACTCAGTCACGTAGAAAAACGAATTGAATGGAGTGAGAATACGAAAAATGTAGACTCGAATGATTCGAATAGCAACCCGGAAAAAAGAAAATAAAAAAAATATTTAAAAACATTTAATTAATTAATGAAATTAAATATAAAATATTCAACACAATACTCAATTCCAATAGAAAAAATTTACATCAGAATAGTGTCTCTGCGTCTTTATATGCGTGTATGTATGCAGCACAAATTTGAACCAAAGCAGCAACAACAACAACAGCTGCGGGCAGCGCTGCCGACAGAGCTGCAAGCAGCGCATGAGCAGCGATTTTACTTAGGGCTATAACTTTCTTCAGAATTGATCTATCATGATGAAATGGCACACGGACACATTAGTACTAACTGGATGTACCTATCAAAATTGATTTCAAAATTCCGAGAATTACGGAAGTTATAAGAAAAAACACGAATTGCGGGGGAGTGGGGGGGTGCATCGAAAAAAAACTCAAACTCGTACTTTCTCGGTCTTAGGAGAATATGGAAACCAAGTTTGGTTATTCTAGCTCTTATACTTTCTGATATCCTTGCGTTCATACGGACAGACGGACAGACAGACGGTCAGACGGACAGACGGACGGACGGACAAGGCTATATCGACTCGGCTTCTCACCCTGATCAAGAATATATATACTTTGTGGGGTCTGCCACGCCTCCTTCTGTGTGTTACATTCATGCTCACAAAACTAGTATAGCCTTTCACCCTTTGGGTACAGGCTATAATAAATTCAGGTATTCATTCGGACGGACGGACGGACAGACATAGATCGACTCATCTTGTCACGCTGATTAAGAATATATATATATGTATATACTTTGTGGGGTCTGCCACCCCTCCTTTTGCCTGTTATGTTTTGCAGCTCGCGCAAACCATGTAGAGTATAAAATTTAGAGCGTATGTTTTCTAACCGTCTTTCTACAGTAGTTTAATATTATAAGTTTTACCTCATTTTAATAAAGGCTGTTTGAATTGAATCTAATTTAAAATAAAGCTTTAATCTTAAATGTAAAATTAATACAAATTGTTGATATTCGAAAACATACGAAACATACTTTGGACAATGGCAAATCATCGTCGTCATCTGTATTTTCATCGTGTTTGTTGTTTATATTTGAATTGTCAACATCATCATCGCTAAAGGGAACTTCGCCTTCTCTATCCGTACCCTGTGTCGGAACCTTGGACATCTTGGTGTCGTCATCCACCACTAAAATGGTCGTGGAACTATATTAAGCAAACGCTGGTACATCGACTGGTTCTACGAATGAATGAACGGATTTATTATACTTATAAATATATATATAAATCGCTTACCACCATGCATTATGCGCTGATCCGTTTCTTTTTTAAAAATCGTTTGTTGTATTGAATGCGTATTAAACGTTTGCGCTATATTTGGGTTCGGCGCCATAAACTCTTTAAAGTTTTCACGTATTAAATTACGCAATTCTCTGTCTAGTTTTGGCGATTCAAAAAGAGGTTGTAAATTTGGAATGACCTGAAACAAATTTACGAAAGAGTTTGTCAGTTAAAGATGTTATTCCCTTTTGTGGCACATACCTGTTTATCAAGTATTAGTTTCAATGAATTAAACACGCCCATTCGAATTTTATCTTCATGCTTAACATAAAAATTTTTTGTGATTCGGCACAGGAAATCCAATAGTGTACTGCTGACGAACGGATGGTTTCTGATAGAGTGATACATAACTAAAATTCCGGGTTCTATATTCATTATGTTGTCTTTTAATGGATCAAAGAAAAGCCAGTCATAGAACAACGATAGTTTAGCATTGGCTGAGGCTATGGGATTTGTGCATGATGATATGAGCCACCCAATAATCGCCCAGCGTGGGATTATGTCGGAGCATAACATGTCGTTCGTAGGGTGAATCACATTAATTATAAAGCGAATTAGATCAGAACGCAAACTATGTGATTCAGGCGTAGAAAAGTATTTGTCCTGAAACCAATCCTGATAGCGTTTCTGGTTTCCGAATTTTACCGACGATGCAAGAAAATGTAACTTTCGCTCCATTTCCGGCAAAAGGCGACATTGTAGAAATCGACGACTTGTACGTATTTGAAGTATATGCCAAATACCGTTAAATGTTGGGTGCAGGCTCTTTGGATTATAGAGAATATCTCGCCAGAGAGTCTCAAATTCGGGAATGCGTGCCACGTTCTGCAATAATCTAATAAGAACTTATTTTTCAGTTATTACATAATTGGTTAAGTAGTTAATGTTAAACAAAAATGTGCTCCAAGCATCCGATATTAAACATATTTCTTCAGAAACGTAATTATTTGATATACAGGTGTACATACACAAATAGTCCTCATCCAACTCTCTATCGGCTTAGGTTGAGAGTTCAACAAGAATAAAATACTACTTAAAAAATAAAAGCTCAGATTTATAAGCGTAAATTTCTTTTTTAAAGCCAAATTTCTTGTGAATAGATTTTCAAGATTATAACAAGCCAATCTCGGGTACCACGAATTCTAAATGCCATGTACCAAGTGTAGAATAATTATCTTTGGGATATACGAGCTCACGTAAAGGGTGTATGTCGGAAAGCGTGTTCAAAGCAACAAAAACAACAACATCTGCGGGCAGAGCTTGGCCAGAGATTATATTAATAGCTATAACTTTCTTCATAATTTTTTTTTTATAATTCCTTTTTACTCCACTTGGGAGCTTCTACAAGCGCTTTCCATCGAACTCTATTTCTGGCCGTCTGTCTAGCTGTGTCCCATGTGATGTTGTTATGGGATAATTCCTGAAGGGTGGTCCGTCGCCAGGTTATCTTAGGTCTGCCGACCCGTCTGCTTCCATCCTTACAATGCTGTGTGGGTTCTTCCGCAGTGCGTGGCCAATCCACATCCATTTCCTCTTCCTTATCTGGAGGTGGATTGGTGACTCACCAGTCATGCTCCACAGGTCTGCGTTTGATATTCTGTTCGGCCAGAATAACCCGCATATAATTCTGAGGCATTTGTTTATAAATGCCTGCAGCTGTTGGATCATTCTTTGTGTGGTCAACTACGTCTCGCTCCCATACAGTAGTGTGGATTTCACGCAGGCATTGAAAATTCGGAGTTTGGTTTTTCTGCTTATCTGTCCGCTTTTCCATATGCGACACAGTCTTCCGAATGTTGCTCGGGCTTTGGTAAGACGGCTCGATACATCTTCGTTCACGCCACCATTGTTGGAGATAATGGTGCCGAGGTATGGGAAGTTATCGACAAACTCGTTCCCACGTATGTTGACATTTCTTTGGCTGGCGTGATTGAATCGCATCGCTTTTGTTTTTGCCGTGTTTATTTCCAGCCCGACTCGACTGGCTAACTCCACGAGGTCATCAGCTTTGGATTGGATATCATAGAGCCTGTGAGAGATCAGACAGATGTCGTCCGCATAGTCCAAGTCTTCAAGATGTCTGTTGAAGTTCCACGTGAAGCCACGCTTGATGTTGAAGAGCAGTGGCGATAGAGGGCCTTGCTTGACACCTGTGTTTGTCTGGAAAGGTGTACTTGTTTTTCCATTGTGCAGGACCGACAGGTTGGCATCATCATACATCGCCTTAATTATGGCGATACTTTTGGTCGGTACTCCTCACCTTGCTAGTGCGCCCCATATTGCCGCTCTTTCCACTGAGTCGAAGGCTTTCTTGAAATCGATGAACAGGAGGTACAGCGGGGCCCGCCACTCCACAGCTTGTTGGGTAATTATGCGTAGTGTGTTTGCCTGGTCTACGCAACTTCTGTGTGGTCTGAATCCTGCCTGTTCAACGTATTGATGGCTAAATTTTTTCCTGAAGACGCTCGTTCAGTAGTGTGGGTTTGTAGCTCGTATTCAGCAGTGTGATTCCTCTCCAATTGTTGGAGTCGCTAAGGTCTCCTTTCTTGGTTTCCAGTTTTACAATGATTCCGCTTTTCCAGGTAGTTGGAATCTGTTCGCGACGTGTGGATGCAATATTTCCGATGCAATATTTCCTTCTCCAGCTGCCCTGTTGTGCTTCAGCTTAATTATTGCGTTGCCGATTTCTCTGGTTGATGGGGGTGCGGACGAGATTCTCAGTATCCCATTTGTTGGTGCAATACCTCTGAAGTCATCACTACTGCTTGGTGTGGCAGTGTTGCTGATCTCCATGAAGTGTTGACGCCATCTCTCTATTTGGGCTTCATCATTGGTCAGCAGGTTTCCATCTGTGTCTCTTACTGGTTGGGATTTCCTTTGGTAGCTTCCAGAGATTCGTGCTACTAACTGGTATAGTGAGCGCATGTTGTTTTCGCCGGCTGCTTGTTCTGCATCGTTTGCAAATCTATCCATTAGTGCTCTCTTATCGTTCCTGGCGGACTTCTTTACAGCTTTACACAGTTCGCGATGTTCATCACGATTGTGGCTGTTTTGGTCTGCCATAGCCTTTAGATTGTTTCTCCTGCTAATTAGGTCCCATGTTCTGTCGGATATCCAATTGGTTCTTCTACGTTGTTGCGTGCCAATAATTTCTTCTGCGGTCACCCTTAGCGTCCTGCATGCTTGTTCCCAGGGGTGATTTTGTTGCGGTGATAGGTGTGCTCGTAACGCAGATGAAGGTTGAGGGGGAGCGGTCGGTTTGTGATGTTGGCGATCTGTGGTCGTTTCCGGTTCAACTTAATTGAAAGTTCGCCTATGACCAGCTCGTGATCGCTGTCTATCGATGCTCCTCGCTTGTTCCGTACATCTAGTAGCGAGTGTCTCCATTTCCTGCTTATGCATATGTGGTCAATCTGGTTGCGTGTATTCCCGTTTGGAGATGTCCAAGTGTATTTGTGAACATATTTGTGATGGAATAAACTGCCGCCAATGACCAGTTGGAATGTCTGGCAGAGTTCTGTCAGTCATTCCGCATTGTTGTTGCGAGTCCCGATTCCATGTTGGCCCATGACTGATCTCAGTAGTCGCTTGTTGTTGGGACCAATTTTCGCGTTTAGGTCACCCATGAGAATAGTGATGTCACCTCGGTGTATTTCCGTGAGAGTAGTTGTGAGAGCAGCGAAGAAGTCGTCTTTGGTGTCGTTACTGGCGTCTTCTGTTGGGGCATAGCATTGCACGATGGTGATGTGCCTAGCTTTGCATCTAAACCTGGCCTTAATGAGTCTATCAGATACGGGGACCCAGGAGAGTAGTGTCGTCTTCATCCTCCTCGCCACGAAGATTCCTACCCCGTATTTGCTGCCGTTACTGTTGCCACTATGCAGAACTAAGTTGCCGTTTGATGTTGTTGTAGTCCCATTTCCGCTCCATCTCATCTCACTGATCGCCGCTATTGCTATCTGCAGCTTGTCCATTTCTCCTTCAAATTGTTCTAGCCTGGATGGTTCCTTTAAAGTTCTCACGTTCCATTGTCCGATTCTTGTCCGTTTTGAAATGCCTATGGCGTCGAACTGGTGATTGGCCAGATGCGACTTATCCCAGTGGTGGGGCTGCCACCGGTCGCCGCCGGGGAGAGGCGTCTTGGGGGGGTTACTATTGGTGCTGTCCAGATAGCGTGGATGGATGTGTTTGGTGGTTAAAATGACCACGACGTTGAAGGCATGTATTTCGGGGAGTTTGTCCAAAGGAGAAAGCTAGTTCGGGGGTCATGCTCTCGCCATGAGTGGGGCTTGAACCCACGACCTCTTGTTTGGTGTGCGCGTGCGCTATCCACTACGCCACTGAGGCCCCATCTTCATAATTGATCTATCATAATCACTAACCTTTGTTGGGTTTCGAAAAATTTTGGTTATTCTAGCAAAGTATATATTCTTGATCAGCATGACAAGACGTGTCGATCTACATACTTCAGTAAAATTTATATTTGTGCAACTCGTTTTTAAAAGTTTATTAGAAACTCTGCCATTAATATCTATTAAATAATTAAGAAACCATAAATATATTTCATTTTTGATAATTTGATCAATAATAAATTAAGGTAAACAAATTTTTCATTCATGAAAAGAAATTTAAACTGTAATTATTATTTACATTTAGAATACAATTTACTTATGATTTTAGTAGGATATAGTGATATTGTTATTTGACCAATTGCAACGCTCAGGACATGGATTACCCAACTTTTGAAGGACGATTATGACAATTTTTGGGCATTCTTAGACAATGGCCTCTTTTAAATTTTTTAACACACCTATAAACTTTGCCTGATAGGGTGCCCTAAAGGTCCTAAATTGAATTTAAATCCGGACTTACAAGTATTGCAGGACACTGCATTAAGGGAATATTTCTTGTCTCGAAAAACGTCATGCTAATCGTGCAACATGTATTGGAGCGTTATCCTGCTGAAATTTCTAAAAAAATTACCAAAGGATCTAAAAGCCGCCCATATCATGAGTGAGCCCACCATGGTTGCATATGTTTCAAATCTGTCGGGGATTGCATGGATCGCGTCAATACCTTTGGTTTCTACCTTGGCTAACTAAATTAAACATTTTTGATTACTGAACTTGTCCGTTTTAAATTCCCTGTCCCAAAAATTGTATTTTCCGTAAAAGACAAGATAGACCATATTATGTCGGGGCAACAGCTTTGGTTTACGCACCTTGGCGTCATATTGGAGACCTATTTCCTTCCTGACAAATTTATTGCAACTGTAGCCCAATTATTGGAATCTTTAATTCTGCCCTGACCTGGGCGCAGCTCATCATTTTGGTGGATATCAAAGCTCGAATATCTCACCAACTATGGGAACAGTGCCTTTTCGGTGGTTTTGAGCATATTTTTTCGGAAATTTTAAAAAGTTTGAGACGGTATTCCGATGCTTGATTAGTGCTTTAACAATAACACCGACTTTAATGTTACAATCAGCCATAGTTCTGATTTTTATTTCATTTTCTGTGTTAAACTCGTTCCCGAAGGGCATTTTAAGTTATTATTATTTTTAAGTTCGCCAAAATACAATGATACGGCTTTTAAGAAGCCTCCAATAAATCTGCTTGATAAATTAATTTTTT